CTAATAGCATGGCTCTCATGGTCTGATTAATCAATTGTTAGTAAATTTTATAAGTGTGTAACTTTTATTGCATAGAAAGGCCATTCAAGTAATATTTTTTCCTTTAGGGGAAAAATGTGGTCCATGCTTAAAAGCAAATTTTTTATTGAAATGCCACCAAAATAATTAAATGCTGCCATAAGTAACACTTAAAATATTGAATTTTATTAAAACATGTTTTGTATTAAAAAATATATGATGCTATTTTCTCTCAGATCATAACTAAAATTTTCTCTCAGAATTACTTCATATATACTGCATTGTTTCCACATTGGATATTCCTTATTACTTAAGATTATTCAGTGTAATTTTAACAATAAGCTGTTTAGGGGCACCTGGGTGACTCAATGGGTTGAGCGTCCAACGTCGGCTCAGGTCATGATCTCGCAGTGTGTGGGTTTGAGCCCCACGTTGAGCTCTGTGCTGACAGCTCGGAGCCTGGAGCCTGCTTCAGATTCTATGTCTCCCTTTCTGTCTGCCCCTCCCCTGTTCAAACTCTGTCTCTTTCTCTCTCTCTCAAAAATAAATAAACATTTAAAAATAACAAAACAGTAAGCTGTTTAGAAATAATTTGTCATTTGATTAATGTCCTGCTCTGTCTGGAAGTTTCACTGTTTTGATTTTAAGCATCAGATCCTCTGAGGTCTTCTCTGAGCAGGTTTAGCCATTTATTTTTCATGTGTTTTCTCTTGATTTTTATAAAATATTTCTCTCTGGTGTGACAATATATCTCTATAGTCAACCTGCCACTCAAGACTGTTTTTAACATCAGGTAGTTTGACAAAAACTGAGTGTCGAGCTGGCTTATGGCAGTTGCCCAATGAATCTTTGTTAAATGAATGACTGATGTGAAATAAATTCAGGAATATAAAATTAATATAATCAATAGCAAAGCTTTAATTCCTTGTTCTGTATTAATCAATTTCTAGAATATTTAAGTAGTTAATAGGGGAGTAAATGCATAAAAATGGTATCCTCTAAATCAATATTATTTTGGCATACATAATTACAACTTTGATGATTTGACAAAGTAAATAAAAGTCTTATAAATGCAAGCTTTCAATTTGGCATTCAGAGCAAAAGAGATAGGAAATTATAATGGTTAATATGGTTGAGGAAACATTGTGCCTTAAATAAGAGACCTAGAAGAGAGGTGAGGAACTGAACTGGGTAATCAGAGTGAAGTATTTTTTAAAACAAAGAAAAGGGTTATGCAAACTGAGCAGGAACTGCCATTGAATGAGCTAATGAAATGAGTGGCAGAAAGCCTGATCAGAAATCAGAAATGATTCAGAATATGAGTGGGACTTTTTTTTTTTTTTTTAACTTCTTCCTCTATATATTATGAGAAGAATTGGGACTGGAGTATTATATTTGAGAGCCAGCAATTCAAGCCAACATTTTGATTTTTATACTCCTACAGTCTTTCCAGATCAACCAGCTAGATAGAAACCATACCAGCTTCATTACTGCCTTCCAGCCATGTCTAGGTCCTGCACTGCTTAGGGTCTCCTTCAATATTTCTCCTCCTTTGCCTCCATGGGGGCGGTTCTTACAGTGTGTTCTCTTTCCCTTTTCTTCCACTTAGAAATTAGGCTCATTTACTTCCAGTTGTCTCAGTTGTAGGTACCAAATTATGGCTCTGGTGGGCTCCTTTCCTGGTGAAGTTAAGCCCATGGGTAGTAAGTTTGGAAAGATCAGGAGATACACACACATAAAAAATCAATCCTCCCCACAAGGCCAGTAGTGGGAGGGTTCTTAGATGTTTCTGCTTCTTGGAGTACTCTTGTCATTTTGGCCTTTCTCAAGACTTTAATGATGGCTGCATACTAGCTTGGGAACCTTCAGCTATCAAGTATTTTGTTTCTGAAAAAAAAATATTTATAGTGCCATTCCTTGGTGTTTTAAAAATAACCTTCTGCTGTCATCCATTTTCTAAATGCTGTTAGAGGCTTGACTTTCCTTCTCAGTAGACCACTATTCCTTGTGTTGTCGCTTTTCTGCAGGAGGACAATTCTATATTTGTGCAGCTGTTGTCAAAAAGCAAAGGTGTGCCGTTAGCTTGGGATGCTCTGAGTGCAGAGGAGAAACAGTTGCTCTGGTGGCCTAGGACAGGCTAGTGGTGACTGTGACATATACCACCCGGGTTTGCACTAGTGAAGAACGACTGGTGTTGATCAGCTATCTCTTCTCTGCTTAAAACTTTTTACGGGATTCACAAAAAATAACTTACAATATTCTCAGAGTATAAAAGGACTGCTGGGATAATAGACTTTTCCTGGGGAATGTCTCCAAAACTTGAAGTGGAAGTTTCATTTGTGCCTTCAATTATTCATGAAATAATCCCCCAAATGAGCCATACATCTCAGGATTCAGCTAAGGATTTCAAAAAGGGAGTAATGGTTTGGTAATCTCCTGAAGAGACAGTGGGCTGTGAATTTTGAAAGTAACGAGGCAGCCAGGTCTCTATGCTTTTATTATGATGCTATGCTCTATGGTCACTGTAGAAAAATTTGGAGAAGGTAGAGATGTAGATAGAAAAAAATGGAAATTATGCATAACCCATGATTCCAAGAGATTATTCCTATTAACATTTTGTAGTATTTCTATAGACCTTCTTCTGTGTGTGGACAGTAGACTTGCAGCCTTAGAGGTTGAATATTTATGTATGATTTGTGATTATGATGGTTCCATGAAGAATTACAGTTTGTTGTTTAGCTAAGACACTAATGTGCATCATGCATACTATAAAGTTGCTGTGTACAGTGACCTTGTTTGACCATGGGGCAGCTATATTTCAGGGAGGTTTAGTTCCAACTGCTTAAAAATTAGGAGACATGTTAGATGCTACAATATTACCCAAGAATTTTGAGATTTGTAAGATCTTGGATTGTATCCTTGAAGGATATCAAGGGTATATGGTGGCCTATGACTACGTGTATATATGTGTATGCTTATGTGTAATCACATTTATATATATGTGGTCTGATTTTCTTCACTTACTGTCATAAACACTTTACCATGTTTTTAGATATTATTTAGAAATTAGAATGAAAAAATTAGGTAATGGATATTTTTTGAACAGGTAATTATATCCCATTAGTGGATCTACCTTAACTTATTTAATATCATTACATATTTAGGTGGTTTAAATAGTTTTATTTATCTTATTGTTGCTATCCCAAGCAATGCTGTGATGAATGTCCTTATTATTTTATCTCAGAATCCTGTGAAATAATTAGGTTGACAGATAAACAGAGGGTTTTAAGATTTTTTTTGATACATATTGCCAAATTGCTTTCCAGAAAGATTATTCTCATTGTCGCTTTTTCAGCAAGTTTAAACTGCTAGTTTCAGTATACCTTCATCTAGATTAAGTCTCATAAAAATAATTAGAACCATTTGACAACATGAGAGTTATTATCTTTCTTTGCATTACTTGGATCATTTATGCAGTTTAATATTTTTCTTTTGCTATTGATCATTAAATTTCTTTTTTAATAAAATCATGTCCTTTGCCTATTTTGTGGGATATTATTATTATTTTCAGGTGCTTTAAATGATCATTGAATCAGCATTTGCCTGTCATAAGCCATGAATTTGCACACTTTTCTCCATTCTATTTCTGCTATCCAGTACACGTCACCAGCATTTCTCATCTGAATTGCTTCAGGAGACAAAATTCATTGCAGGTCTGCAAGGATCCTTCTGATCTGACCTCTGTTTACCTTTCTACTTTCACCATAAGACCATCCTCCTCACTCTCTGCTCTGATCTTTCTTTACTTCTTTTACCATTCATTGTCCCTGTCCCGCATTGCCTTCACACTGTTCTGGGGCGTGGAAAGCTTCATTTCCCCCACAACTGTTCTACACAACTTTACCCAAGTCCTTCTGGATTAGGCCTCCTTGAATATTCTCGTAGAATCCCATTCTTCTTCTTTCTTACATTGAAAACAACTATGATTAATTCATTCCTTTTTGCAAATTAAATTTTTGACAATTACCTGCATAATTTAGATGGGTAAGTGATTGAAATGTATTATTTCTATAGTTTTGCCAAAAAGTATGTACATGCAAACATATCTGTTAGGGAAGAATTAAAAAAATTATGTCAGGGTGCCTGGTGACTCAATCAGTTGAGTGTCCAACTCTTGATTTCAGCTCAGGTCATGATCTCACAGTTGGTGAGATCAAGCCCCCTGTCATCGGACTCTGCTCTGAAAGCGTGCAGCCTGCTTGGGATTCTCGCTCTCCCTCTCTCTCTGCCCCTTCCCACTCAAGTGCACATGCACATGTGTACTCTCTCTCTCTCTCAGGATAAATAAATTAAAACTTAAAAAAATTGACCTCTGTGGTTCATGGAATAAATCATTCTCAAAGAGTAGTGGACAGGACAATGGGCTCTGGAGTCCCAAGGGCTTGGGTTGGAATTCTAGGCCCACCAATTCTGAGCTGTTTACTCTTGGGCAAGTTGCTTAACTTCTCTATGCTTCATTTTCATCCTCTATATAATGGAATTAATAATAAAATCTATCTTTTATGATTGTTGTGGATTTTGAATGAGATAACTCATGAGGTGTTAAGCACACAGCCTAGAACATGGTAAGTACTCTCTAAATGTGAGTCATTGTTCTCTTTTTCATCCTCATTTCTATCTTCTTTATCTTTGAACTTTATTAAGTGCCAACTCTGTAGAGCATAGTACTAGATGGTATTTGGATTTCTGTTTTTGTTTTTGCAGGGAATTTCTCTACTGGTTTTGAAGTGTTTCCTATCAGATAATGTAGTTATTTTGATTATTGTTTGTGGAGCCCTTTCTGTCACTCTGCCATTCTTCTTTAGGATATTTTACTTTCACTTCTAGATTTGCAATATGTACCTTCTATAAGATAACATATCTTTGCTTCTTTTTTTGCAGTATAACTTTTTGTGTATTAACTCAGATGTTTCTCCTAACAGCTGGCAAACTTCCCCAGACTCTGCGAGGAAACAGAAAGGATTGTTGCCAACCATATTCGCGAGCGAGAAGGGAAGACAAAGGACCAGGTGAGGGGAGGCTTCCTTGTTGGGCAGGGTCTTTGTCAGAAGTGGAAGTTCTCCAAGGCTGTCTGGTGGTCTCCAACAGTTGGCCTTTCTCTGAATGGCAAGAAAGAACACAACCACATATGTTTATTTTTACTTATTTATGAATTTTATACATGTGTTGCTATACTAACATCTTGTGTATGTTGAGAATATAAACGAGTGTAAAAGCTTTGAAGGATGACATTTAGAAAACAGTAATAGGAATTACTTTTACTCTCGGTGCCCCATGGATTGTCATGTGCACCCCTGGCATGTATACACTCCACTCTGAAAGCCAATAATCCAGAAACATTCCACATGTTTTCTTTAAGCAGAGGTTCTTAGCTTTTAATGAGCCGACAGATGGGTATCAGGATATTCATAAATTCCTAAAATGTCATGAAGAATGTCAGTTTTTTCCCCCTAGGTGAATGGAGAAAACTATTCATCAACTTATCCATGGAACCTGTGATTAGATACTTAAGTATCTAACTGTTTAAACAGTTTATTTGTTTGTCTTATTGCTGCTATCCCAAGCAATTCTGTGATGAATGTCTTTATTATTTAATCTCAGAATCCTGTGAAATAATTAGGTTGACAGATATACAGAGGGTTTTAAGATTTTTTTTTGATACATATTGCCAGATTGCTTTCCAGAAAGATTATTCTCATTGTCACTTCTTCAACAAGTTTAAACTGTGCTAGTTTCAGTATACCTTCATCTACATTCATTTTCAAAAAATAATTAGAGAAAAAAATGTTTAAGAACAGTTCTTTTAGGGCACCTGGGCGGCTCAGTCAGTTAAGCATCTGACTTCGGCTCAGGTCATGACATGGGTTCAAGCCCCACGTTGGGCTCTGTGCTGACAGCTCAGAGCCTGGAGCCTGCCTCCGATTCTGTCTCCCTCTGTCTGTCTCTCTCTCTCTGCCCCTCTCCCGCTCTCACTGTGTGTGTGTCTTCTCTCTCTCAAAAAAAAAAAAAAATATATATATATATATATATGGCTTGTAAGGAGTGACCTTAAAATTATCTTCTAATCCTATTTAGCTCTTTTAATTCAAAAGGTTATTTTATGCGAAGGTAATTCATTAGAAAAAGCTAAGGACTGTGTGTAAATAGTAAAAGCTTCTTAAATTTAGGTGGATTTTATTCTTAGTTATTTACAAAAATGTTATAATGGGAAGCATGAAGGTTTTCAAATGCTCTTCAATTCCAGGACACAGCTGTGACAGCATGTAGAGGACACTGGACTCAGGCCATGTGTTCTCTACAAAATAACAGCATGTTCTTGTGGAAATCACTTCTCAGGACTGTTGTTTTCTCATGTACAGCTTTGGGATGTTGGTCTATGTCATCTCAGAAGTCTCTCTAAGTTAGAATTCCAAGATTTTGTGCCTCTTAGAATTCCAAGATTTTGGAAAGGCAGAGAGGGAAAGCCAGGGAAAAAGGAGAAGGCAAAATAGAAGAGAGAGAGAAACCACAGGGAGAGAGACACAGGCAAACTGCCACAGAGGGTGCGTGTAGGGGTGGGGTGGGGTGGGGCGGGGTGGGGAGGGTGGAAGGAGAAAGTGAAGAGACAGGATGGAGGCCCAGTAGTTTGGGATATTTGTGACTCAGTAAAACTTGACTATCAGCTTGAGCTGTGGGATTCATTGCTACTACTTTTTAGCGTTGTGCTTTGAAAGTTAATTAACCATTATTCATAGTTTTCACTTGTTTTCCAGCTTCCACACCCTTGGATAGCTACAGTAGCCAAAAAGAGGAGAAAATAGGCTTTCTGACTTAGTGGAGATAAACAAATCAATGTTAACTCATGAGCCAGTGAAATCAAGCCTGGGGCCAGATATAAAATCCTGACACCAGAAGTTCCCCCACACATCTAATGTCATGGCTGCAGTTGGACCAAGAAAACTGAAGTTCTAGTATCAACTGTACTCCTGACCTTAAGTCAATAAGATAACAATTTTAATTTAGTGTCCATATTTTATAAAATTCAAAGGATAATATTATCCTACTTAACTCTTAGGGATCCTATGTAAAAACAATATTGAAGAAGTACAATTATTATCTTAATTACCTTTGTTTTCCTATCTAAGCAGTTGTTAGCTTCATGTTTCCTGTTTCAGAGTTTTGCTTTACTGAAACAATGTAATCAAACTTAGCACTGTTGTTAAGATTGTGGGCTTCAGGTTCAGACTGCCTGAGTCAGAATTCCACCTCTGCCATTATTTTCTGTGCAAATATTAAGGTGCTTGACATCGTATACTTCAGTTTCCTCATCTTAAAGTGAGATAATAATGGTAGTTAACTCATAGGAATTTTATAAGGATGAAATTAAGCATCCAAATGCAGTTCTGAGTTCTTCATTCATTTTAGTTGTTTTCATTGTTTTTCCTACAGAGCTGTGGTACCTAGTATCTGTGAGAAAGAATTGCGTTTTTCTGATTTTAAGAGAAATTGTCTTTCACCTGCAACTCTGATGTAGTGATCACTTCATTCCCCAAGTGGGAGATAAGGGATGGAGCAGGTGTCTCTACTAAGTGGCCATCTCAGGTGTCCTAGTCTGACAGTTCATCAGCCAACCACTTGAAGAAGCTGGTGCTTGGCACCTATAGTACGACCTGTGCGGTGAAAACATTCATGTTCTTGGACATGTGAAGGTAGCAGTTTGCATAGATCTCAGGTTTGAGTTCTGAACTCCGTGCTGCTTTGGGTTGTATGATGCTTCCAAAGTAGCTGGCCAGAGAGTGACCCATTTTCCCAGGCCTTTGTACCAGAAATGCTTTGAGGTGTTCTTGTAGTTATTTTTTAGTTAAAAAAATTTTTTTAATTTTAATGTTGTTTTTTTTTTTATTCTTATAGAGAGAGAGAGAGAGGGAGGGAGGTGGAAGAGGGGCAGAGAGAGAGGGAGACACAGAATCCGAAACAGGCTCCAGGCTCTGAGCTGTCAGCACAGAGCCCAGTGCAGGGCTCAAACCCACAAGCGGTTGAGATCATGACCTGAGTCAAAGTCAGTTGCTAAACTGACTGAGCCACCCAGGAGCCCCAGGTTTTAAAAGTTTTTAAGAAATTATTACTGACCTCTGCTCTGGAAGCCTTGTGGGGGGGAGTTCTTCAATATTAAACATACAGACAACCATAAATCTGTGAGCTTTTTTCTAAGACATAGGTTTTTTAAAATGTGTGCCTGCTATCATTCCAGGTGCTTCCACACATGTAATTGCATGTTAAAGGGACTGACTTTGTGGGTGATTATTGCTAGCAGGGGTAGCTTTACTTTTTCTTTAACTAAATATTCAATAACTGTGGGTAAAAAGGCAGTGAGAAACTCTGAGAAAGTGAAAAAATGAGAAAAAAAATGTACTATTTTCCTTTTCATCCCCCACATGCGACCTGGCTCTTTTCCTAGGATGAACACAGACTCCCAGTTTCCAGGAATATGAATGAGAGCAGCCATAGTTTTTTTTTTTTTTCCCACTTTTTTCCTATACTGCAGTCCAAGTTAATGTGCATGAACGGCCAAGATATTCATGACAACCTTGGGCAATGCTGAGAATTATGTAGATATTTTGCTCTTTATGGCGGCAACAATTTATTTGTGCTTAAACATTATGGTTTATTGATGCAAACTCCTGGCCAAATGGATTTGGGAGTATAACATTTAACAGAATCTGGCTTTATTGTCGGGAGAATAGAGGCAATACCACAGACAAAGTAATAATGATGACCCCTCCTAACTCTAGAGTTTTGTTCATTAGGATAAGAAATGAAACTGTATCTGAGGATACGAAACTTTTTCATAAAAGTATGACGTTACTGACCTAATAGTGGCTGTACCGTGACTTCATATTTGGTAGTAAGGATGGATTTGGGTGATGCATTAATTTTTTTTGGCCAGGTCCCCTTGGGATTCACGGCAAGACGACCAGCTGAGATTAGCCATAAAAGCAAACCCTCAGAGCCCATAGCATTGGGTAGTGACAGAGAGACAACAGTAAGCGGCCATTTACTGATTATGTGGTAATAAATTGCTCCCTTTAAAGCAAAGTCTTATTCAAGGCTGGTAGACAGTTATCAACTTATAGCCACAAATATTTACTGGGCACCTACTACGTGTATCATGCTACGTTCTGGGGATAAGAGGTGAACAAGACAAATATAACTCCTGCTTCCATGGAGCTTACTTACAGTCTTTTTAAAAAATGTTTATTTATTTTGAGAAAGAGAGCAGGGGAGGGGCAGAGAGAGAGGCAGAGAGAGAATCCTAAACAGGCCCCACTCCCAACGTGGAGCCTGACGCAGGGCTCAGTTCCATGACTGCGAGATCATGAGCTCAGCCGATATCAAGAGTCAGACACTGAAACAGCTGAGCCACCCGGGCACCCTGAGCTTACTTACAGTCTTGCGAGGAAGCAAAACATCAAACAAAATATACACAAAGAATTAATTACATTTGTGGTATATACCACAAATAAAAAGTATAAGGTGCAATATACATACAAAATATAATACAATATATAGTCTATATGACAGTATTAGCAAGATCTAACCTGGTTTGGGGTGAGCGTATAGGGTGAGGATCTGGTAAGCCTTTCCTGAGGAAGTACCCTCTGGGGAACATTACATAGACCTGGTCAGTGAACTGTTATCCTGAGGGCTCTGATGCATTCAAATTCATCTTCATTGAAGGGAGGCAGCATGTACATGCTCATCATGTTTATCAAAAGTTTGTTCAACAAAGTCAAGGTGCAGAGCTCTGGAGGTATGTAGGCAGGATTTCTGGATTTTTTTTTTTCCTATTAACAAGCATTCTAGAAAGAGAAGGGACACACAGTTGGGAGAACAAAAGGAAACTTAGGAAGGGAACTCAGTTTTGAGTATCTCTGGGATAAAACTCTCTTACAGTGTCTTGTTGGTTGCTCTACCCTCTCTTATCTCCTATTGAAGAATATTTTCTACAGAGGGACTTTCCAAACCTCTGACTTAAAGTTTCTAAGTATCTCATGATTAGAACATTTTCATGTTTCACGTTTATGGGAACATGCATTCAGTTCATTCCTTGACAAATCTTGATTGAATGTCCATGAAGTTCAAGGCACTGGGGATAGAGCATGGATACAGCAGATGGGGTCTGTATACTGAATAAGTAAAAACTTACTATGTCAGCTAGCGGTAGTGCTACAAAGGAAAATAAGGCGGTATAATAAGGTACAAACAGAGTGCTGGTTTATTTATTTTTAATTTTTTTAAATGTTTATTTATTTTTGAGAGAGACAGAAGAAGCATGAGCAGGGGAGCTGGAGAAAGAGAGGGAGACACAGAATCTGGAGCAGGCTCCAGGCTCTGAGCTGCCAACACAGAGCCTGACATGGGGCTTGAACTCATCAACGGCAAAATCATCACCTGAGCCCAAGTCAGGCCGACTGAGCCACCCAGGCGCCCCCAGAGTGCTAGTTTAGATAGTAGGGAGGATCCCTGTAATGAAGTGATCTTTTAGCAGAGACCTGACTGAAGTTTTGCTTTGATAACCAGGCCTGTTGATCTTGAGGAAGTTTTCTATTTGTATATTGCCTTTTTGAATTGGTTGATGAGCTGTTACTCCTGCTTGCCTAGAAGGAGCTTAAAGAGGTAGAAGAGAAGAGGAAAAACAAGAGATAATATTGTTATTTCATGGCTAATATATAGTGCCTACAGGAACAGGAAGCTCTGAGCAGCCCGTCATTGGTGCACATGTATCCTTCTTTTGAACATTATGCCTACATTTTAGAGGACTAGAATAATCCTGCATTCTGTGTTAAATTAGCAGAGTCCATGCCTATAAACTATAAACATGTTGTCTTCATGTGGGACTCAGACTTTTCATGTAGATTTTTAATTTCTGAATTTAGAGTAAAAATTGTGAGTCTAATGAAAAAAATTAATGCAACTTCTCATTTTAACTGAAGCATCCTTTTAAGAATTAAATAAAGATAAATAATTTGTAGGCAATTACTCAGTTTTGTGTTTAAGAATATTTACGATCAGTTTTCACTGAAGGGTTTCTCTTTAACTTATAGGTACTGCTACTGATTGACATCCAAGTCTCTTACATCAACACCAACCACGAAGATTTCATTGGATTTGCAAAGTACGTAAAACAGTTGATTGCCACATGCTTTCCTCCTGATGGTTTGTCTAGAATACACATTGTGAGTTTCCTACTACAACCATATCTCTTTTTGAGAGCACATTCTGTGTCAGGATTAACTCTGAGTCAACCACGTAGGAGGTCTGAGCCTCATGGCCATGAGGCCATGTTTTCTCGATAAAGTAGTTGGCTCCTTCATTGTGCAGCATGTGAAGTCATATGTGTCTTAGATATTCATTGTTTTTGGATGGTGATCTGCAGTTTGTACTTGAACTCTCATAGATAAGCAGTAACAGATGCACATTTAAAATATGTTTGGAAACACTTTCTCACATAAATTTGAAACATCAAATGCAATTCACAGGATACAAGCTATTTTATCATCTCTAATTCAGAATACAAGGCCTATTTTTTTTTAAACTCTCCTTTGTAAACTTAGATGGAATCTTTTTAGATGAACATTCTCTTTTCTACAAACTGTGTACACTTTATATAAACTTGTCTATATATTGCTATTCTATCTACATGTATTCTATTATATTCTAATATTCTATTGCTGTATTCACAGATACTGTCATGTAGATATGCTTTGTTATTCAGGGTTGGTTATTCACATGTGACATTTTCAAGACCCTGAATTCACCATTTTTCCTGCCCTTTAGTGGAACAAGTTTTTCTTTGCTTTTAAGGAATTTTGATTCTAACTCTAAAATATATTTGGGGCATGTACAGGGTTCCAACTTCAGGTACATAAAACGTCTATTTTATATAAAATATAAGGCAAAGGGGCCTATGTACTGTTACTTGAACCATATATTTAAGAATAAGGACAAATAAGAAATACAACACAGAATGTAAAACAAATTTATTTAATTACACTCTGACTTAGAAGCAACGCTATGTAGATTATGTGATGTAAACTAAACATTGGCCTGAGGAATAATTTATAGACATGTTTTAGGGAGCAAAGGCCTAATTATCCAACAGACAATTGTCTCATTCTAAACTTGGCTGTCCTTGTGATGGCTTAACCAAGGGTTTATGTATATTTTGCATCCATTGTGTGGTAGATTAGTTTTTCTCAACTATTTTCTGTCCGTGACCTGTGTGTAAAGTTGTTAGAACACAGTGATTAATATGTTCCTTTGGTCAGTTGTCTTTTTAGCCACACTACCAACTCCAGCTTTGAGATAGGTATTTTCTCCACAGGCGCTTCACACAGACCTGTTTCCCTCCCTTTTAACCCCTGTGGCTGTCACCATATGTACTGCTCAATTCCTTCTGTGAAATCACTGGTGGGAAGAAATCGAGACTCTCATACGCTTCTCTATCCCTGGGCTTGGAGGGGGAACCTGAGAATTTCTGCCCGGTTTCCAGCATAGTCTGTGAACTCCATGTGGCCTGTGCCAAGCTCTACACTAGTTGCTAGGGGCAAAATATATAAGAAAAAGAAAAATAATTTTTTTTTTGTTTTTAGGAGCTTGCCCAATAATTGAGGAGTAGAGAGAAACACATGTAAAAAGTTATGCTGACACATTCTCCACTTACTTCACTTGCTTCTTTGAGGAATCAAAAAGAACAGCAAACCCTTGAGTCATTTGAAATAATGAGAATGCTGCCTTTAATATTGATTTTTATTGGTTACAAATGCCAGTTAGGTTCTTATGAAAATGTAGCAGATGTAGATGTAAACTTGACACCATAACTTAAAAGTGAAAAGGATGTTGCAATGCTGCCCTGTTGTGGTACCTGATTTAAGGAGGAAACGTAAAAAAAATCATAATGAGTTTGGAAGGATTCACGTTTTTTTGAACAAGTTTTGTAATCAGTACTATGATTTAAATTTCACCCCTATAGTCTTCTGGAACCATTTCCCCCTAGATTACTCTTTTATTTATTTTTAAACATAAATGGTCCAGTGTTTATTTTCTCCAGTAAATTTCAATATTTTCTACCTCAGAAGCTGTTCAAATACAGTATTATATGGACTGGATTTTCAAAGGCATGTAGTTTTGCAAATGTAAATACTTTCAAATTCAGCCTTTTGATGCAGTTTCTCTGTAATCCAGGTGACTGCCCCACTTTTCCAGCAGTGACATAGACTATGAACATTTATGATGGAGAAAAAAGAAGCATTGTTCAAACTGCTTTAGAAACCTAGCAACTTTGCACATTTTTCATCTAATTTAAACTGCACATCTAAACTTTCTTTTAAGGGACTGATCTGGGTATCAACAGTCTGGATATTTTTCCCAGGGTTTGTCACTTGTGAGCTTTGGGTTTTGGCAAGTCGTTTAGCCTTTCTGTATCTCAGTTTACTGCTCTATCAAATGGAGTAATAAGTAATCCCTGTCTTGTGTACCTTTGAGGGTTGTTGGAAGATCAGATTATTGAAGTTATATGAAAGTGCTTTTGAAAACTGTGGTGTAGCCTGTAAAAGTGAGAGTTACACACACACACACACACACACACACACACACACACACACAGAGTGAGGGAGGAGAGCGAGAGAGAGAGAGAGATACACAGAGGAATTTGATTACTAGTTGTACCATTTTACTTTATTATGAAATTTATGATGCCTGGAGTATGATTGCTACTGGAATTTTTTTTAGTTGCTGATATTGTCTCCAAATGAGAGTCAGAGGTAAATGTTCTTTCCATTTGTATGCTGAGCTGGAGTTTATTTCAGTGTGACATGGGATAATTATGAATATGAAGAAATGTTCATTTCAAAATCACTTAAGAGGTTGTGGTATTTTTTTGTACTTTTAAAAATTAAAAAAGTATGGTTGTAGCTATAAATTTTAAAGTTGGCAGGAATGCTGTTTCCATCAAAGAAGAAAAGTCAAGCCATATTTGAAGACAATTATGTAAGTATTTTTAAGTTCCAAAGATAGAAAATTAAGGTCTGGAGTTGAGGGGAAAATAAGCATTTATTTCATGAGATTTTTAGAGAGTTGCCAAAAGAGGGGGGCACCTCTCAGATTTATAGGATGGTGATAGACATAGCATTTTACACACACACACATATACTTTTTTTCAACTGGGATGACTGTTGTTCTAAAAATTAAAAAAAAAAAAACAAATTGTTAAAACTAGATTAACAGAATATTAGTTCTCAGAGTAGCATTCAGAACATCTCAAACTTCTCCCTTCTGCTATAGACCTTATTCTGCTCTGCTGAATGTGTGGAACTTTTTTTTCATCTCCCAGCTATTTGTTAAACGTGGACCGTAAAATATGTACCATGTGTAATGTGTCCAAGTAAGCACTGCTGTAGGCTTGCTTTGGAATTTCCTGATTTCTGAAAGCTTGATCTTTCAACTGTAATATAGTTTCTGAACCTAAAAGTCCTATATTTCAGGAGAAAATGTAAACTTTCCTCATGACTTAAAGATTTTAACTTATCATTCTTCTTTGTTGGAAAAAAAACCAACCCTACATTCTGGTTTTTTTTGTTTTGTTTTTTTTTACACAATACTAGTTCTTGTTATTTAAGAAAGCAAAAGCTAGTCCAATTGTTCTTTTATTCACTTCTTCTCATTTTCTGTTATCCTGCTATATTTGAGTAGAAAAGCAAACGTGTTAGCAGAATGCCTTGGGAAGTGAACTTTCACGTTCTTGTGTTCTTCTTCGTTTGTTCTATGGGCACAATTTGCCTTTCTGAGTTACTGAGATTTATGAAGTTCAGTGGTTTAAGAGAAAAATGGGCTCCAGATACAGACCGTTAGAGTAATATCTCTATGCCACCAGCAGCAGCCCAAGGTTTGTTTTTCAATCTGCTGGGTGTGTAGATCTCAACACCTGTTTTTTCATGGTTGAAATGATATAGTGTGCAGATTTCAGTTCTTGTTACATGAGTACCATGAAAATTCTGTTGGTTGTAATATTCATTTTATCTCTTTCTTGATCCTCTGGAATGTCTCTGTTGCCATTTTCCTGAAGGTGGTATATGGGAACCTTGGCATCAAATTCCAGAGCAATCTGGGTTTTTCCTTTTTTGTTCTTTTTTTCCCCTCCAATACATAACTGCATTCTATCATAATAGGGTTTCTAGTTCCTATTCTTACATGAGAATGTTCTCTCACTTGTGGAATCAAAATTTAGGTATTGTAGCAAGATTGTTCTTTTGATTCTTATGCAAATTCAGGAATTGCTTGCTTACTGGGACTAGTACCAGGTAGAAATACAGGGCTGAACAACTCATAAGGGCATCATTAGTATCTCCAATTCAAATAAGTTATGAATTCTGTTTCAAGGACCATTTTAAAAATAAGCAGACTTCAACTTTGCTCTTTCATTCTCAAATCTGTTATGTTGAACTTTATCTTCATCCTTAAAATGGATCTTAAGAGGGGTGCCTGGGTGGCGCAGTCGGTTAAGTGTCCGACTTCAGCCAGGTCACTATCTCGCGGTCCGTGAGTTCGAGCCCCGCGTCGGGCTCTGGGCTGATGGCTCAGAGCCTGGAGCCTGTTTCCAATTCTGTGTCTCCCTCTCTCTCTGCCCCTCCCCCATTCATGCTCTGTCTCTCTCTGTCCCAAAAATAAATAAACGTTGAAAAAAAAATTAAAAAAAAAAAATGGATCTTAAGAAGTGAGTCATCCTTCTTTGATAAGCCCCCAGGTTCTGGAGGGTGTTCTTGCATAATATTTAGCTTGTGATGACTTCACTAAATACCCTGCAGGGGGAATTGACATCATGTAGTTTTCTTCTCCTTTTGGCTTCAATCTGATTGGATGGAGCCAGGCTGGCATGTGATAAGCTGCACTCTTGGGACTCTCAGCAAGTGTTCATAATCTTCTTGGGATAATGTAAAAGAACATTCTGAAAGAGCTTCTTAACTCCAGAGTGATGTTGTCCAATAGAACTTTCTGAACAGGTAGAAATACTTTATAATCTGTGCTGTCCAATACAGTAGCCACCAGGCACGTGTATCTATTGCATAGCTTAAATGTCGCTCACAAAACAGAAGAAATAAAATGAAATGAAAATTAAAT